CCACAATTTGCTGCCAAATGTTTTATCTTTGGTGATGCTCTGAATACTATGCTTTCTGGTCAGAAAACAAGAGTTAAACAAATATCTGTTACATTCATATATTTATCATTTCTGGAATTGGTAATTATTTACAGTATACTCTACTTCAGAAATCTTATTCAACACTCTAAATTGCCATTACTGGGTTGCCCATGGGTATTGTTGATAGGGGCTCTGCCTCCCAACACCCCACACAAACAGTCTTCACTGAAGCTCTGGAGAAACGAGTGGATTTAGAGTATGAGTGGCACTTCCCAAAAACTTTTTTTTTTTGTTGCATTACCATTTGTGTCTGCAGATTATTTCTTAAAGCACAAGACTACAACTTTTTGTCCTTGAAAAGAATATCATCTTTATTTTCCCTAAGCTTAGTGCATCCATACTGTAAAGATTAACCCTAGGATTTAATACATTAATGATTGCCAAGGACTGGGCTACCTAGCACAAACATTAGTGGTTGTTGCCTGTCTTGGCAACTGGACCTACAGTTAAACACAGCTACATCGACTGAACAGCAAAACTGTGAAGTGTGGAGGCTGTGGCTATCACTATGCTTTAGCATTAAGTTAGACATTAGAATTAGACAGTAGGTCTTCACAGGTCACTGCAACTTTCCAGCAGACTTAGATAGTACACCCTCAATACAAAAATGTTTTATGAAGGAATCCACAAATGGTTAATTAGTATCTTCTACCAAATTATTTACCAAATTAATGATACATGGATATCTATGAAAGTACTGTGTTCCATGCAGAAGTCTTCTTGGTTAATCTTGACAGTATGGACACTCAACTAGGGTAATGACATTCAAGTAGAGGACAAAAAGTTATAGTCACCATCTTATTAAGCACAAGCAATAGAGCAATAAACAGAAAATATTCGCTGCATATCACCACTAGGTATAGCTGCAGCAGAAAATATTCGCTGCATATCACTGCTCAGAGACTAAGTCCACAACAACCTCACACAACCAAAGTTCTTAATGTCCATTTTCTATAAGTTGGCACAGAGCTAATAAAGGAAGGTTGATTGTTACCAAGAGCAATGCACCTTCCAGAAACTAAGTCCCAAAACCTGGGTAACATGCAAACCCAAAAACCCAACCTAACCTTTCCTACCTTCTATTTATTCCCAAGACAGGGGGGCACGCTCCCTGTACCCCACCTTTATTAGTACTACTTGCCAACTCATAGAAAAAGGACATTAAGAATTCTGGCTGTATGAGGGTGTTGTGGATTTATGTTGTGTTCAGAACTCCTCATCCTGCTCATCTAGACAAGATAGACATGATGCTTTGACTATATGGAACCTCTACTTTCTCGTCCTGGACAAGTTGTCCATCTCGTTCATCTCATCCTGGGCGAGCAGGATGAGATGACATGACAATAGCATTTGCATGTAAACAATGATAATTAAATCCTTTATTGATGTTATCAAAGGATATTTTTGTGTTTGTTAGTTGCAAGCAAGTTGAATATGCATCAAAGGAGTTACAAAACCTATGCAGTGTGCAAAATAAAGATATCTGTATGATAATAGAGTGAATGTTTACTTTCAAGTTGGTTGCATTCTGGGCAGCAAGGGTCTTGGAGGCTTTAGTCTCTGAGCAGTGATATGCTGCAGACATGTTCGTCATTTAGTGGTGAATATGAGGCTGCTGCTGCTGTACCTATGTTATTTTTATTATTTTACGGTTTATAACAATCAGGACTTCCCAGACAATATTCATATCATCAGATTTATTCTCGTGTGATAAGAACGAATCTGATAATTATTTCTATAGCAATCACAGCTGACAATCTTGATGTCTTAAGTCCTGATAGCAAGGGAGGGCATGAAGTATATCAGGGAAATTAAGGGGTAAACCAGCTAAGAAAAAAAAAATTAAATCAACTAATGAAACTCTACAGATGTCCACCATCTTTGAAAGTCTACAGACCGACACACCAACAACAAAAAACTCTACAGGAATTCAACCACCTTCCGGTAAATTCAACAGGAATTCACATCACCCAATATATCCTGACCAATAAAGCAACCTAATTTCATGTCACAACCTCTATTCAACAATCTAAGTTGCCGTGACTAAGCATGCCTTTCGGGCACTGCCCGAGGAGAGGGTTGATGGGGACAGAGCCCCACGGGAAACATTCTTTTCACCTCGGTAAGACAGAGCTGCATACATAACTTAAAGAATAAACCAAACATCTTTATATCTCGAGACACCAAACTTTTCTTCGCCTGTCTCTTTTCTGGATCGATTGATGTCTAATCACTTTTCCAGCAATTTAGGGCACTTTATGGGTTCATATATCAAGCTGTAATAGTTACTAAGGTCTATTTCTTCTGGCGAGCAACTATATTGTTTTAAAAATTACCCATAATCGATGCAACAATGAATATTCCTTACTGGTGTTTTATCAAGGAATTGCAGTCAAAGGTCTTGAAAGTCCCAGTGGAA